GAAGCTGGCCTTCCTGTTTCGTGCTGCTGGCAGCCTTTCCTCCGAAACATTCTGCAATGCACTTTATTATATTAACACATTCAGAGCTGCTTTTTCATGATCAGGCTTCTTCATGAGCATTACCACTAATTAATATACAAAATGACCCGGCACAATTTAATTATTTGGTAATGTTTTTCAGTGTTTTCTTAAAGATGATGCTTTACAAGTCAAGGCCTGAACTTGCCTGGGTCGTGACCTCTCTGCAGTGTTTGCAGTCTTGTTAAACAAGAAGAAAAGCAAAACATAAATTAGCGTCTCCATTATAAGTTGCTCTACATTTCCCAGTCTTTCAACACTCCGGAGAGCGTAGTCACTGTTAACGTTCAGAGAGAAAGGTTCCCTGGGAAAAGGGAAGTTCCAGCTTTCTGGAATGAGTAAGAAGCTTCCCCCTCAACGCCATTCTTCTGGGGCCAACGTTGTCCTCCATGAGAGAGGAAGCAAGATGAGGGAGTTTGAATCACGGGCTATGGAACATTAAAAACCTCCGGGGAAAAAAGAAGGAGCAGTTACCTTTAAAATGTAATCAGGATGTCCCAGCCTGCGTGGCCTCTGGCATCTATGAGGTTTCAGGAATACGTCCCTAAGTTTACTACCCTGTTTCCCTGAAAATAAGACCTAGCCAGAAAATAAGCCTTCACGTGATTTTAGGTGCCAAAATATGGTACCTTGGCATACTGAATATTTTAAGCTGAAAGAGTTGGTGGAAAAGGCACCCGTCTCCCTGAAACAGGTCATAAAACCCTGATGTGAGGCGTGCGCGCCCTCCGTATCCTGGAGGAATCATGCGAGGGCTTCTTCTCCTGCTAGGTCTTATTTTCGGGGAAACACGGTACTAGAATTTAGTGTTGAGAAATACTTAAAAGTACCACCTTTCTATTATAGTAGTTTATAAACCTTTATGCATTCATAATGACCCCAACATCCCAGTTTTTATTTTTGTTATTTTGGACTTATGTATTTCTGTTCCTTCTGACTTGGAGTGTCCTCTCCCATCGTCTTCCTAATCACCCTGCTCATTCCTGAAGACTCAGCTCAGGTATTATCTCCAGAGAAAAAGGGGATGTTCCTTTTCCAGGTCTCTTCCGTCTACCATGCTGACTCCCTGTGATAACACCTTCACTTTCCATATTGTATTGGAATGATCTCTTTTGTATCTGTCCATATATACAAGGCCTATTCCATATTCACCTAGGAGCTTGGTAAAGGTCTGTTGATAATGTGTTTGACTTGTAGCTAGTTGATTTCTTGACTAATAGTAACTAATAATAACGATCACCCTTTCGTCTGGTATGCCAATCGCTAATTATACCAGAAGACATCAACTTTTTTTCCTTTGACATGCCTGTTTATGGGGGTGCATTATCCATTCTTGGCCCAGCAGATGGACAAAAGCAATGAGTAAGATGGAGACAGGTTAGCATGCATTATTGAGAGCAGTAGTATAATGATTACAAAATCCAAATTGCAATTGTTTTGGCATCTGTTCTTCAATCGCTTAAAACCTTTTCCTACATTTATTTTCATTTCCACATTTATTTTAATGTCCTGAGTTTCTAAGATCTGTGAATAGGTTTAATGATTATATTAAAAGCTTTTCTGTGGAATGAGTATAAATAAATCTAGTGACATAAGTTTAAGTTTTATCCCTCTTCCATTTTCCAAGTAAACATTTTTTAAAATACGTTTTTCTGCATGAAGAAAGGCAGTATACAATTTTGGATTCTGTACTTGGTTTCCATTCCTGGCTCCGTCATTTATTAGTTATTTGACCTTGAACAAATTACTTATATCTGTAAGACTCAGTAGCTTCATCAGTAAAATAGAGATAATACTCATACTTAATTCTCAGGATTATAATGAACATTAAATGAGAGACTGCTACAGAGGTGCCATACTGCAAATAGGACTAAGTGAAAGTCTCCATATTGAATGGTAAGATGCTAAGACCCTTCCCTCCCCTCCTTCCAGCATGCTGGAAACTAGGCTTCATGGCCCTCAGGAAGGAGACTGGAAGAATCTTCTCTGGGAAAATAATTAATACACCCTGACTTAGGGCCGGCCGAGTGGCTCAGTTGGTTAAGAGCTCACTCAAGAGTTTGAGCTCTGAGCAACAGCGGTTCGATGCCAGCCCGAGCTGAGCAGCTGCTAAGCTACCAATAGGTAGCAGGATGGCTCAGCTAAA